ATGGTTGATCATCTGTTGACCACCTTTGACCAAAACTTTGACCGGCCATTAAACGGCCGTTAATCTTTTTCGAGTATACCTATCCTGACATTTTTTGACGTTCCAAATCCGTTTTTGGGGCCCGTTTCGCCAAATTCAAACCCAAAAGTCTTCAAATTTACAGTCAACCCGTTGACTCTGATTTTACCAAGAATTCAAATTTCCGGAAGGTCATACTTTATGTTTTTCGATGTCCTGAATCTGATTCCAAAGTCCGTTTTTCCAAATTCTTACATGAAATTCCCAATCGAGCATGTGAACCCAAAAGGCTTAGTATTTAGTATTTTGATTATTTATTTGAGATTTGGTTAAGGAATTGATTCAGTAAATATTTTATGAAGGTACTCGTGTTTCACCTGAGCGAGGATCAGTTAGGTCTGGTGTTGTCTGTTCGTTAGATCAGCCCGAACCGCATAATACAAGAATTACTCGTAGGTTTTCGTATATTATTTGAATAAAGATTAAGATTATTTATATTAGAATTCCAATATGGATTTTTCCAATTCGTAGGATCTAGCGCTGTAGTAGAGCGTGATCGACAGACCCAGTAATAGTCTCCCTTATCTGATTTCTCAGACTGTTACAGGTATGTGTCCTGACAGTATTACATTACTGTTTTAAAAAATATATATAGATATATATATCTAAATATTGTGTATCTGATATCTGATTTATCGCATATTTTTATATGATTTCTGGTTACGGTATTTTATACCGATTTCTGAATACTTATTACCCAACATCTGAATTACCATACATTACTGATTTGATTTTTATTTCTGTGTTTCTACTTATGGTTTTCAAGCTTGAAACATTCTTATGTTTTTAAAGAATTATTTATTGTTTTACTTGAATACATTCATGTTCATTACTATCATTGGGGGGAAATATTGTTGGAGGAAGATTATCTGCAAGCTCCTCTGTTGTGTGCTCAGGGCCTTACTGGTTGTGCGGGGTGTATGGTTCTGGGGAACCACACAATAGATTGTGAAAGAAGTTCATGTTTTCAAAACATGATGCATAAACAATTTTATTGAAATATTTTAGTATATTTTATACATTGTATGGAGCACACTAGGCTTTTTAGCTCATTATGTAAATTTTAACCTTTTTCAGATAGAAGCAGACAATAAGCTAGCAGATTTGGCATAAGGGGAGATCAACTACTTAATTTTGTACGAAAGTATATATCTATATGTTTTTCAGTTGTGTTTGGTGACATGTATTTTGCTATCGTTTGGATATATTTGTATCATCGATATCTTATTATGTATTATCTGTAATGTTTTATAAGTTGTTATAAATTAAAAAAAAAATCTCTGAATGAGATATGTAACCACTTAAGTTTGAGTCTAACTTACAGACCGGGTCTGGGGTTACATCTTTACCGTTTCTTTAATAATTTTCTTTAATCATCGTCACCTCAAATGATTCTTTCCTTTTTTTTCCTTTTGTTGTTCAATTAAACTTTTAAATCTCAAATAAAAAAATCTATACAAAAATATTAAAACATTATACATGAAATTCATTAGACTAAACTGTAACATTTTTTAAATTTCCAATATAATCTTCTAGAATCTCATTGTCGAATTTGAGAGTGTAAGAAAACTAGTAATTTTATTTAACAACACTCACGCGAAATTCAATTCATAGGTACAATGTTGAGCTAATTTGAATGAAAATGGTATAGATTTACTGGAAAAGGGTGCGAGATATGTGATCACATCTAGAATATAATACTATAGAGTAAAATACCATTAATTTCAGAATTTATTTAAAAAAAATTAATATAAAATAATGTAAGATTCAAAATGAGGGTTTTAGGTCAAAATTTGACAAAACGAATTACAAAAACGGTAACATAATGTCAAGGATAAATAAGAAAGTCAACAGCTAACAGGTAAGGTCAATGAGTCAAGTCAATAGGCCAGGTTAGATTGATCCGAGCCTGATTTGGGTCAAAACGGTTAAAGTCTGGTTCAGATCAAATTAATTTAATCCTATAAACCGGCTCGATCAGTTTGTTGAAAATCACTCCGACACGTGCAGCAACAACACATGGAACACCCTTCGCTGACCAAACACACCAAAATTTTCAGTTTTACGATTTATGATGAGGAATCCCTTACTGAAGTTAGTCCGTGAACGTGGATGATTTTTATAAAATCTAAAATAATACCTCTTCCTTAATCGACGCGACAACGACCATGAAGGAACCAAAAACACCATACGAATAGGAAGAAAATGTTGAGTCAAACGGTGCCAGCGATGACACCCACTATAGAAAAAAATTGCACAAAACGAAGAGGGGATAGATAAAGTACTGAGAAAGAGAGTTAGTTGCTGGTGGTTTGCACAAATGTGAAAACGAAAAAAATTGTGTATTAAATACCCCAAACCTAGGTATTTCTATCTATACAATTTTAGTGGCTTTCAGAAGACATAAGGGCACTTGAAGTATATATAAGATATTCAACCTTAGTGATCCATGATTATTCAAATACATGGTATCAGTGTTATAGTATGTGAAAGTTTAATGGTATTATGTACTCATTGTATAAGTAGAATACTTCTTATTAGTGTGATTATGGAAAACTACTATGTGGAAGAGAACCCATATCCCAAGTCTAAATCTATATTTCTTTAAATTGCTTGAAAATGAAATTAACCTTAGTTGAAATGAATGCTAGTATGATTGAGTCATGCCTCTATACTTTATTTGTATGTTTATATTTATGAATTTAATGAAGTATTATAGAATAAATGTGTATTATTAAACTTGTAATGCTCATATTCAAATTATTTTTATGCATAAATTATTAGACTTTGTTCGAATTTGAGGAGCATTATCAACGAATGATTCTAACGCATCATCTCGTGGTACTGATCTATTAGTGGATATTTTTATTCATAAGATAATATTATTTTTGTTATGTAAACTCTATTATTATATTATTATTATTATTATTATTATTTTAATTTACATTTATCTTAGTAGGAACTTTAATTTTTGTATATTGTATAACTGCCTGGTTCCTTTGGATGATGAATTCGCTAGAAAAGAGCCAGCTTCAAACTGTATAGTCGTTTGGCGGTGGTTTAATAGAAAGTACAATCATCTCATGGTGGGTGTGTACAGGAACCAACATGATTTTAGAAAGGAATAATTTATAAAATTTTAAAAGAATGAAAACATTATTAATTAAAAATATAAAAAAAATACTTAAAATATACTCTAATTTAAAATTTTGAAGAGACGTGATTACTTTCTCCTGCCTTTCCTTTATCTATCCCCGAATGTATCATTGATGGTGAAGAAATAATGGTGGAATAGAGTAATTAGAAAAATGATTAAAGTAATATAAATTTTAAATATTGAGAGTTAATTTTAAGAATTATTATAAAAATTTTTGAATGATTAAATGTATCACCCCTCTCCATTATAGGTGAAGTCAATAATTTTTTTGAAGGTTAATTTAAATTAAATTATAAATTTATTATAAAATGATTTAGTAGTTTATGTCGATCATTGTAGAGATTTATTATAGTATACTTTACAAATATATGAAATATTATTTTATGAAATGTATCATCCTTTTACTTTGAATTTTTTTTAACATGAAGTCTCTTTAGTTGGTGATTTACTAATTCATACTAAGCATTTTAAAAATTTAATAAGATACTTTTTTTAATTCAACTTGTTTTATTATAATTTAAAATTTAAAATTTAAATGTTATTTAAAAAAAATTATATTTGGTCTCGTTATACTTTAATTTTTGATATACAATTATATATAAATAGAAAAAAATGGTTAAGATGATATCATTCAAACCATGATATTTCTATATTTCCATCCTAAATAATATTTTCGTTGGCTATTTTCTAGTAACGAAATGATTTAAACTTTAAACGACCAAACCACTTTCTCCGACAATTTAGTCCATCAACAAATATCAATATTAGTGTTTAGAGTTTGATCTTTCAACCTTATAAATAACGAAAAAATCAACAGATGTTTTTCAGGCAGGTTACAATAATAGCTTCTTCATTCGAGGCTCATCAACATTTCAATCATAAAGAGAAGAATAATAGTCAATAAAGGCCTGGGATTCAATGACAACATGGTGTCAGTGGGAAAATTGCCATTCTTGTTCCTGGCTTAGTTCTTCCCAGATTTTAGAGGTTGTCCCAGTTCGATCCCGATAAAGGCATGGAACTAATCATCGCCACCGGTACTGCCGTACGTCCCGATGTTAAAGTTTTTAATGTGCTAGACTTTGAAGCCAAGGCGATGGAAAGACCCTCAGCTCAATTAATTTTATCAGGGCATTCAAAGAAGCCTGCAATCATGCAGGGAAGGCAATGTTTCCGACCCGATATGACACTTAAAAAAACTCGACCCGACCCGAATATCACACTTAAAAAATCCGACCCGAACAAAATAAAGTTTCACCAACCGACCCGAATATATGAATTAGAAATCCGACCCGACCCGACCCGACCGAATATATAAGGTAAAATTATATATATTTTGGGTTGTGTATTTTTCACCCTAAACCCGAACTCGACCCGACCCGACCAAAATAAAGTTTCACCCGACCTGACCCGAATATATGAATTAGAAACCCGACCTTAAATAATAATAAATATTTTTATTCAATATATGAATAAATTACCAAAAGATTGACGAGGGTAGTATGGTCAAATTTCATTCTCTCCGACAAGAAAATTGAATTTTATCCATTCTTGGATGGAATTCAAAATCCCTCATTTGATAGAAAGTTGAAGCCATGAGAGATTCTAATTCCTTGGAAAACTTGAACTAAACATGAGAAGTGGTGTAATTAGATTCCAATTCCATCTAATTCTAAGGGATTCATGCCAACCAAACATTACCTAATTGTCGCATCGGCACGGGTGACGATTGCATCTCCATCATCCATTGATCCACCAACATCTCTGTCGAGAACACCGCCCGTGGCCCTGGACACGGCATCAAGTACATTCTATCCATCTATCTATCTATCGAATCATTTATACGTAAAACTTACGTTAAATCATTTAAACAGCATTGGAAGCCTTGGACACTACGATTCAGAGGCAGATGTTTTCGGAATCACCTTGAGGAACTGCACGTTGACAGATACAGACAACGGTGCAAGAATCATAACTTACAAAAACAATAATCCAAGCAAAGCTCAGGCATTATTTTCGAAGATCTGGTAATGAAAAACGTCAAGAACCCCATCCTCATAGATCAAGAATACGGAAATCAAGGCGACAGTGAGGTTATTTTCCTTCTCCTTCCTCTTACGAATATATATACATATATGTATGTATACTAATAAGTTTGTATTGGTTTGGTGAAGACTTCGAAAGTGAGCATTAGCGACGTTCAATTCACAAACATCAAAGGAACTTCAGCAAGCAAAGTTGCAGTACAACTGATTTGCAGCAAAACAGATCCATGCCAAGGCGTTTCAGTTAAAGATATAGACTTACAGTTAGCAGGTACGAAAGAGGCTAACATTCCCTTCAGCTCCAACTGCACCAACGTCAAAGTTACCTACTCCGGCACCCGCCGCCCTGCCCTCCTTAAATCACGGCCTAGTATTTTTATTTCTATAAACTCACAATCATCCATGGAAATTGTGATTGTTATTTCATGTAAGCAACATATTATCCAATTTATTAATAAAAATTTCAATTACGGAACATGTTTTGTTGTCATTTTAATATCAATTTAGATGTTAAATTTATTAAATGAATTTTTAATTTATATTCATAATAACTATTTGATCGAATTTATATAATCTATTAATTAAACATAATCTTTAATTTAAAATATAAAATTTAAATTCAATAATAATATAATATGAGAAAAAAAAATTCAACTTAGATAATAATAAATGATGCTATTCATGGGTGTTGTATTTCATGTAAACAACATATCCAAATTTATTAATAAAATTTCAGTTATAGAACATGTTTTGTGACTTTTAAAATATAATTTACGTGTCGAATTTATTAAAATGAATTTGGATATATGTTTGTAATAAAATTTGATTGAGATATCACTATTAATTAAACACCTATACAATTAAGAAAAATGTAAAAAAATCAAATTCAATAATTATACATAAACGAAAAAATAATTTGGATAATAATATAAATAATGAAGATAAATTATAAAGGTGTTTTAAAAAGTGTAATTCATGAACTCAATGATCTTAGTGGTAAAAGAGAATTTTATTTTCTTTAAAGGTATTCTTGAGCAAGTGTTGTCACGGATGGACGCAGAATATTATGTTAGAGGGGACGAGCATATAAAATTTGAAAGAAATGACGAACTTATAAAATTTTAATGGGGACAAAATCAAATTTTTAACAGAAAATACAAAGAAATATCTAAATCTATATGAATTTAAAATTTGTTGGGGTGACAACCCCCACCCCCCCCCTCTAAATCATCTTTGATTGTGTCTGTAGTATATGTGCTGTCAATATTTAAAAAAATTTAAACGGATGTTACCTTATAATCATTTCACACTGTTAAAAAAATTAATTCATTTTTTCATGATGAAAAATTTTGTTTATGCGGAAAAAAATTGATAAGATCACTCTTCAAAACTTCAACAACTACCATTTTTTTCTCTTGCATCCGCTCTTTTGACATATTAGTTCCTTTCATAACATTGGCTCTTCCTTCATTCCTTTGCAAAAGTTCCACACTGGTTTGGGGATCTCAGGCCCCATCTCGCGCAAAGTTTGGAGTTGTGTTTAACCTAGAAGGATATTTAATTTAGAATATTAAAAAAGATACGTCATTTAAGGGAAAAAATTTAATTATAGGGGTAAAATATATGCAAACCCCCTGAAGGACCCGATAGTCTAGGCATTCGCGTCGTGCGGGTACGCCCCCAACCGTGTTTAACCTAGAAGGATATTTAATTTAGAATATTAAAAAAGATACGTCACATTTAAGGGAAAAAAATTAATTTAGGGGTAAAATATGCAAACCCCCTGAAGGACCCGATAAGTCTAGGCATTCGCGTCGTGCGGGTACGCCCCCAACCCCAATGAATTCAACAAGCTTGGATTTGCACTCCCGTGTACTAGAAAAATATTGAATTGATTTTAAAAATGTTACATCATCTTTAGTGAAGAGTGTAGAGTTATCACCATTATACTCTAAATGAAAGGATTCACCCACTGTTTACATATCATCTGAACAAAGAGTTGAGATCCCTTTGTTACGTATAAGTACGTTGAGATGCCTCTTCACATTCTGTAGTCTCTCTACAAGGACTTAAAGTTGCCTCCACCCCCGCTTATTGTAAGAGTTCTTTTATTGGGTTGTGAAGAGCGTTGAGATACTTTATCCTAGTGAGGGGAATCCCACCATTGCTCTACCAAGGATAAGATATCTCAGTCCATGCTATAATATTTCTTTGGGAGCAGGGAGATATCCGCTCAACAGTGCTTCTCGAAAGGGTGAGTTGCCTCCTCTCTGACCAAGAGCATTGAGATTCCTCTGCTCTTCTCTAGCTAAAAGAGTTCTCTCATTTGTCTTTTTCACCCTCACGACCTGACTTATAGTTAAGATCATATATTTAAAAGAATTCTTCATTGTCTTTGTCACCCTTGAAAGGGTCGCATTTTCGATCGCATTGCATTTTATCATGATTTTGGATATAACAAATGCTAATGTGGTTATTACGGTATCGTGATCGTAATTTTTTTTCTAAAGGAGTTGATTTTTTTAAATATAAGCTGATTTTTTAAAACAAAAATTAAAATAACAGAACAATAGAGAAGATGGACCGCTATTGCCGCAACCCCATTAAATTACGACTGCGATCCACCTTAATTGGTGTGATTCCGCTTCACACTACTATTTTTCGTAATAGAGTTCGGACACCGCCGCGACTGTGATATAGCACCGCTATTCTACTACCCTATCACTATTGAATCCTTGGTTACGATCGAACTTATAGAGATCATATTAGTCACTAAAATGACCTCGAAAAAAATTATATTTGTCACATAATCTTTAAAACCCTTTATTTAGTAAAATACCAAAATTAACTTATCCAAAGATAGAAAATCAATTAGTCCATCCACATACATAGTGGTGAGAGTTTGATCTCTATGCCATATAATAACGAAGTTATCAGCATATGTTTTGCAGGCTTCTTACAAGAATAGCCTCTCCATTCGAGGCTCGTCAACATTTCAACCAATAAAAATAAAGGCCTCAAATTCAACATGACAACAACGGGGTCATGGGAATAATTGCCATTCTGGTTCTGGGCTTAGTTCTTCCTGAATTTCAAGTATTTGCCCAGTTCGATCCCGATAAAGGCATGGAACTAGCTAAATCAATCACCACCGGCACTGCCGGTCCCGATGTTAAAGTTTTTAATGTCCTAGACTTTGGTGCCAAGGCTGATGGAAAGTCCCTCAGTTCCATTAACTTATCAGGGCATTCAAAGAAGCCTGCAATCATGCTGGGAAGGCAATGCTACTGATCCCTGAGGGAGAATTCGTGTTAGGATCGACGTTATTTCCGGACCGTGCACTGCCGAACCTCCGCTGATGGTTAGTGTCGTCGGAAATATATTGCAACCTAATTCTCAGACGGTAGAAGATGCAGATTGGATCAACTTCCAAAACCTTAACGGATTAATCATAAGTGGAAAGGGTGTTTTCAATGGTAAAGGTGAAACGGTATGGAAGCCGAAATGCGATAACCAGGGATGCGGCCGAATGCCTGCCGTAAGTTGAACCATCAGCATCCATCCCAACATTCTTTTGTTGTTACATGATTTAGCTAGGCTAATAATGATGAAATAATGTCGTGTTGGATAAATTTGCAGACATTAAAGTTCATCAAGGTGGACAATGCTGTCATTAGTGGTATTCAATCCGTAAACGCTAAAGGGTTCCATATCATGATCAGTATTTGCAACAACTTCAGGATCGACGATGTTAACATATCAGCTCCGCCCGAAAGCCCCAACACCGATGGCATTCACATGAGCAAGACCAGCATGCTCAAAATAACTAACTGTCGCATCGGCACGGGTGACGATTGCGTCTCCATCATCCATGGATCCACCAACATCTCTGTTGAGAACACCGCCTGTGGCCCCGGACACGGCATCAGGTACATTCAGTCTATCTATCTACCTATTTATCTAATCATTTACGGTAAAAACTTACGTTAAATCATTTAAACAGTATTGGAAGCCTTGGACACTTCGATTCAGAAGCAGATTTTTCGGAATCACCGTGAGGAACGCACGTTGACAGATACAGACACGGTGCAAGAATCAAAACTTACAAAAACGATAATCCAAGCAAAGCTTCAGGCATTATTTTCGAAGATCTGGTAATGAAAATGTAAAGAAACCCCATCCTCATAGATCAAGAATACGGAAAGCAGGGCGACAGTAAGGTTATTTTTCTTTCTTCTTCCTCCTTCCTCTAACGAATTAGATATAGCTACATATATATATATATTTGATATGCGTGTACTATAAGTAGTTTTATTTATTGAAGAGTTCAAAAGTGAGCATTAGTGATGTTCAATTCACAACATCAAAGGAACTTCAGCAAGCAAAGTTGCAGTACAACTGATTTGCAGCAAACAGATCCATGCCAAGGCGTTTCACTTAAAGATATAGGCTTACAGTTCGCAGGTACGAAAGAGGCTAACATTCCCTTCAGCTCCAACTGCACCAACGTCAAAGTTGCATACTCCGGCACCCAAAGCCCCCCGCCCTGCCCTCCTTAAATCACGGCCTTGTATTTTTATTTCTGAAAACTCACAATCATCCATGGAAACTGTGATTGTTGTTTCATGCAAACAACATATTATCCAAATTTATTAATAAAAATTAAAACTATGGAACTTTTGTTGATGTTTAAAATTCAATTTAGACGTTAAATGAATTTTAATCTAGGTGTATAATAAATATTTGATCGAATTGTCATCATTTATTAATTAAACACATATTCAATTTAAAATATTCAAATAATAATATAAAAGGAAAAATCAAAATTTAAACACATATTGCAATTATAGCTACTCAAACTCAAATTTCTAAAGAAAATGACATTTTCTTTTATCACGACCGTTAGGTTCTTTATAATTATATTTAAGGTTAAGGTTTAAGGTTAAGGTTTAGTAAGTTTTAGGTTTTGAGTTTAGGGTATAAGATTAGGGTTATGTTTTAAGGTTTATGGTTTTAGAGTTTTGTTTATAATTTAATAAGGGCTATTTAGGGTTTAAGATTTAGTGTTAATGGGGTTTAGATTTAGAATTTATAGTTAAAATGGTTTGTGAGGTTTAGGGTTTATTTAGGGTTTAGGATTCATAAATTTTAGGGTTTACATGTTATTAGGGTTTCAAGGTTTAAAGTTTATGGTTTATAGTTTAGAGTTGTGAATATTAGGGTGTATGGTTTTAGAATTTATAGTTTGAGTTTATGATGTATGGATTAGGGTTTAGGGTATACTATGGGTTAGTAAGGTTTTAGAGTTTTGGGTTTTAGTATTAATATGAATTGCGGAAATTTTACTTTGGTCTGTTAATCGCTTACCTAACAACTTTTTTATTTATTTTCTTCATCATGCTCTCTTCCTTAAGTCTCATCTTAAGTCTTCTCTTTCGTTACTCTGCCATCGTCTTAGCGTTCTATAATCCCATCTCTACCATGTTTTCCCGTTAAAAGAGAATAACGCAAGGCAAGATCTTCCTTTTCCTGCTTTCGTTGCGATCACACGATGGATCGAAGAGTGTATTCTTCCACTGCTCCATGCCAGTATACCAGCCATGATCATGGGCGGAGCCAGTGCCTATTGAGGGTGTCAATTGAAACCCAAAAATTTCCAATTTTTTTATATATACATATAAATTTAATATATATAATATAAATAAGAAAATGACACCTTTTTCAAAAAAGTTTTGACACCTTTCAAAAAAGTTTTGACACCTTTCAAAATGACACCTTATGTTAGTTTAGTTATATTTTATATTAATTTATTAAATTTTAGTGTTATGCATTAATTTATATGATTTTTTCTAGATATCGTAATTTAAAATTATGACATTACAATTTGAAATTTCTAGTTCTGTCCTAAGAGGGACGTAGAATCGGACTCAACACCGATCCAATCACCATCCTTTGTTTTTACCTACAGGCCTGCAATTGTTTTTACCTACAGGCCTGCAACTTCATTATCATGAAGAATGGTCATGAATCTCTTGTCAGTGTGATCGGGACATGCATATATCTCACGTTCATCTTCCTGTTTAAGGAACAGACCATCATCCACATAATCAGCTTCTCCTTTCTTGTGTACTGCCATTTCAAAAGCTTCGGACATCTTTTCTGTTGCTTTAAGGCCACAGTAACCTTGTTAACGAGCTCATATTCCCAATCAATATCATCGTCACCCTCATTGTCATCACGTTTAACTTTCATACCAACTTGACAATTGGAGGAGTCAGAAAGACTAGTGGCTGGAGGAATGTCTGACAATTCTTGTTGTTTCTTAGCGACTTCTTCTAGTTCTTGTTGCTTCTTCCTTCAATATAGCAGGAAAGACATTCTTGTCAGTTAACACTTAGCGGGCCAAAGTGAAGGAAAAACAAAATGAGGGAAAGAATAATAATCTCACTGTACATACATGAATATTCTTCTTATCATCATTTTCAACAGTATAATTCTTGTCATCTGAAAGAGCAGGTTGCACTGAGCTTCCATCTGTCTTTGACTCCTTCTTGACCTCTACACGTTGTTCTGTAGGAGCTGTAAGAGTTAATTTATCGTTAGGTGAACGAGCATGAACAACGGAGCTCACAACCAAAGCAAGATGATCACGTTCGGCTCCCATTGCTTCAGCAGCCTCCACGCATTGCGCAACTACTAATATTGCTGCTGATGCCACGACCATGTCGGTCTTGATTGGCTGTTCATTTTTTTCCAGAGGTGAAAGAAGAAGAAGTTGAGGTGGTGGCCGTTGTAAGGCTGCTATGGAGGAGGCAACTTCAGCGACTGATAGAGTTGCGTGGAGTAGTGCATTGTGAGCTTTGATTTATTCTTTCTTTTTCTCTTTCCTTTCCTTTAACCATCTCCCTACTGACTTTGCCCCATTAGGTGTGTTCACGTCATTGCTAGCACTTGCGCAACCTCCACCATTTAATAAAGGTTGTATAGAGTTGTAAGGAGACGGTGATTGTTTATATGAGTTGGTGGTAGTCGCATGATGTTGATGCTCCACCAGAGGATGGTTTCTGGCCATCAGTTGTTGCACCAGTGAGTTCTGCAACACTCTTTGATTAATGGTGAAGAGCAGAGAAAAAGAAAACTTTTTTCTTGAACTTTTTTCACCGGCGTTATCGTCGAGCAATCAATTTATTACATATCTATAGATCGATAATATTAGTAGCCAAATTATTACTTTTGAAACCTCAATGAGAAAAATAAAAAACTTACCATTTTTTTTATTTATAGTTTGGAAAACATAACATTTACATTTATTTCCTTAATTAGTATAAATATAATTTTCTTAATTTTACATTTTCTTTATTATTTATGAATTTTTAATTAGTATTAGTATCTTTTATTTTTAAAAATAAAAGAAATCATTATCGAAATCATGGTTAATAGGCTAAAATCACGAAATTGTTTTACATTATAGCAGCAAAACAACACTCACAACTGCTTGTCTGATCATCATTTATAAAGCTCATGCATTAAAGATCGAAACCGAAAACCAAAATTTATAATACTGTTCCAGATTCTACAGTCATTCTGTAATTAACCACAATTCCTTAACCCTGTTTCAGTTAAAGAAAGCTCAGTAATTTGCTAGAAATATTTCATAAATTCCTTCAGATAAATAGAGTCGGTTCATTAACTCGACATTCGCAGCAGTCCGATCGGCGTTCTCGGCATTCATGTCTTTCCACCACGGACCAACCTAACTAATCTTCATCTGCCAATTGTTTATTTTCAGGGATTTTGAGAATACCACCATCTATCAAGGGCTTCAACTCTTCTTTGGCCATTTTGCGGACCTCGGAATCTGAGGATTCCCAAAATGCAGACACTACCTTTGAACTGCAAATAGAGCAATGGGGATGATATCGAAATATGTAATGTCAGAGATCAAGTGGATGTTTATGCTTTAAAACGTGAAAGATTTACAGAGACGAAACAAAGCAGCTAACCTGTGACCCTGAGCCCATAATTGACACTTTCCTTCAAGAGATTTATTCCATAATGTGGAAGCAAATGCAGGGCAGTCTAAGACCAGTTTCCGTATGGTGCGACTGGAATGAAAGTTTTCGAGCACATGTTCTTCCTCTGATTCTTCGGGTTCTTCAGATTTAGGCTTCGCTGCAAGTGCTGCTATAGCTTGGTGCAAGTTATTCAACTTTTCATCCAATGTTGGGTGCAGAATTCCATCAGAACCACCCAATGCAACCTGGCATTATTCCCGACATATGCCAAGGTGATTAAATCATGAGATTGCAGATTGAAAATAGGTCAATAAAAGACACTAAAAAAAACTCAAATTTGGATGGAGCGCCTGTCCAAATATTCAAGTATAAATATTCAGTTATACAGTTAACACATTATAACAGATATAAATGCTGGTTATCGACCAAGTTCCATGCTTCTAGCTTAACCTACTTCCGGATTTTATAAAAACAATGCAAACTCCAGTAACAAGAACAAAGTTGATTACCTCAAAAATTACTTCTTTGCCAAAATTTGAAGTAAGCAGTTCTCCAGCGTTCTCAATGCAAACATCAACAAGATTCTGCAAAACCAGCATCACAAAAGTTAACCAGAAAGATTTTGATGTCTTCAGCCAAAGAACCGACAAGATTTTCCTTTATAAACACAAATAAGGGCAAATCACCCCTACTGGGCAACAACCAACAAACCTCGGCGAGCCCACTCTTGACTAGCAACTCTTTCCTCCTTAAAGAAGGATCCTTCTTCCCACCCTCAGCCGAGTAAAGGTTCTCTTCGGGAATATCGCTTTTACTGGACTTGGTTTCTGTCATATCAGAATTGGTTGTAGCTTCCTCTTTTGTACGTTCTTCATCAAGGTTCTCTTCAGGAATATCACTCTTAGCTGCCTCCTTACCAGATTCATCACTTAAAATATTCTCAGATCCGGCTTCAGAATTGTTCTGAGAAAGTGAAACCGTTGTAAATTCTAGCAAATTTTGTTTGCCATCTATTATAGTTCAATAAAAGATCATAGCTATTAAACTACCTTAGCACTGAGTGACAGAACAGATAAATTTAAAAACGCCAGACCATCGGAATTTAAATAGCGCGAAGAGTTTGGATGAAGCAACTGTAACAAGAGGCGCCTTCCACTCTGAAATTCACAAAACACAAACAGAATCTCGTAAGGAACACAGAACCACTAAAAACTGAATTAATATGCTCAAACAAATGGCACAATTTTAGGGATGTGATCCAATCTGACATTTTAAAATAACTGTAAAAAATATGAACTTTTACATGGCCCAATCTGAGTAGATGAACCCCTCAGTCCTCAATTTATCAGTTCGGACTTTAAGGATTCTCCGGATACTTCAGATAATGAGGGTATAAGTATATATAATTTTGTATTTGCTTTAAAGGTCATTAGCCCATCATTATTTACAGACCAAGTTATCTTCTTAAAGTTCTGTTGCTAAGATAAGAGGTTTAGAGAGAGAAGAGACCTTGTCCAAAGCAAGCTCTTTCAATGTTGCTAGGAGCTCACGGATGACGAACTGTAAACAGAAAATTAAAGTCAGGCACTAATAGAAAGTAATATTACATGACAAAGAGCCGTAGTAATGAAAGGCTACACCGCAGAAACTAACCTTTGTTATAAGCTTTGTGTCATCGACCATTGAAACAATGCCAACGAGTACCTAATAAAATGGAAATCAGAGACAGAAGCCTTAAGCGATTTAAATCTTAATAAAAGGCCTCATGACACACACTCGTAATGTTGCTAGTGCCATAGTTGAATTTACCAAAGAGTCAACATTTAAGACATAGGGCTGTGCAAAACTCATGAAAACCAAGTTAACCGAATTTACCCATGCAATTTGATTCATTCGGTTTGGTTAGTTCAGTTTCGGTATAGGTCAGTTAAAGGAGGTAGTTTAAATATGTTGATTTTGTCAGCTGTCAGTTTATATAACTGATAGCCGAACTGACCAAATTAATCAGCTTGATATAAATATATTATACCTGTATATTTTTTAATATATTTATAATATTATAGTAATAGACATTACATTAGTCCAATGATTATAACTTTTTTTAAGGAAATATAAATAAAATATATAATATTCTTAAATAAATATGAATTACAAAAAGGGTAGATTGGCTCATTTATTTTTGGTTAAGACAACAAAACAAACCGATCAATTTAAGTCAGTTCAGTCATTTTGGTTTTTCCTTAAGTCAGACTGGTTTTAGGTTATTATTTATGGGACAACAGACAACAGTTAATTTCAATTTTGGTTTTTCAACCGAACCTACCGTCTACACACTCTTATACAAATTTTTTTTATATGAGTTTCAGGCCTCATTAAAAACCCCCTTCTTGATTAATGGCGCTTTTAGGAAAGCTCCTTAATCAGCGGAAGGAGGAAAAGAGTGCCTTTGGATTTTATTAATCATAGGCAAAGTACATAAGATACAACCAGAAGACATACTTAAAAGAACCTTAAGTATTACAAAAACAGAAAATCAAAAACACCAAAACGACCTGACCACCCTTAAACAACAAAACTATCTCAGCTCCAAAACATCAATAGGCCACAAAAAACCTACTGAAAAACCTTTAAAGCAGCAAAATGAGTTAACAAAAAGACTTCCAATGAGTTAACACTCTTATACACATTAAAATGGTTAAAAAATAATCCTTCTACAAAGACTTCCAATTAGCATTTCTAACAAAAGAAATTCAAGTGTATAGAATTCCATAAGCAACCCTTACCAAGCACCCACATTGATCATGCGCTATCTTGCTTATATGGCCTTTCATTCCTTTGATGATTTTCTTTCTTTCCTAAAATGGAACACAAAAAGGATGACACTTCATGAGTTAACAAAAACTAGGAAAAACTTGGAAGATACTCATTCAAACAACTGCCACAAACCTTCGCACTTCCATGCTTAACACAGAGCATCCCAATCTTAGATCCATCCCGTGTATGGATCATACGAACTAGGAGAGGACCAGACAGTTGTTGAATTATATCTGCGGCAGAGGACTATTGACAAACTATATTTAGTAAGAGAAATCACATGCAAAAACCTGTGCTACGAACAGAAAACATTTTAGAGAGTGTTTCAATAATGCACGTTAAGATCTTACATACCTGATCAGCTATGCTCAAATACTCTACTAATACCCTGTGTACCATCGAGTGGTCCACAATTCCTTTTTCAAGGATTGGTTGAATCACCGAACTCGTGTGTCTCAAAACAGAAGATTTCTGCAGGCCCAGCTTTGATATTACATCTATTAACCTGAAATAAGATCAGAATTTTTTTGTCAAAATATGTTCCCGACTTCTTGTAGAATTAGGATATCACTGTGGAATCACATATATCCTACAAGATACCAACAAAGCTGTGAAAGGAATAACATCAGAAAAACTTAATGACTGCCCATCAGCCTCAATGATAAGTTGTCAGTTCTTTAGGACTTTATAGAGTACGACAATCAATGCTAAAAAGTACGAATTTATATAATTTCTACCTGCTTTCTTTGATGGATGCGAGGTCTTTAAACAGATGAAGCTCTGTAGAATATAATTCCATCAGAAGCTCTTGTTTTTGAGTGGCATTTCCAAGTTGATATGCATGCTCAATAACTGCAAAGGGATAAGCAAAGATATTGAATGTTAGCAAGGTTTGAGAGCAGATTTACCTCTCAAAATCTATGTGAAATCTGCTACTGAAAACTAAACCAGTTTTATCACTCACTTTAATAGACATCACCTGCACATAAAAAATTGAGTAGAATTAAGATCTACATTACTCGGACTCAGGTGAAAGAGCCGAATATGGATATGTTTCCAATATGGTTTTTCTTTTTCTAAGTATTTCTATGTATTTAGAGAATCATTACAAAATCATATCCCCATACTCATGACACTATATATATCGGATCAAGGCTACTCAAACACAGGTGTGAGAGTCAGATCACAGGTATGTTCAATATTTTACAAGTTCTTCTATGTATTTGGAGGATCATTAGAGAGTCATATCACCATACCCATGTTGGTATAAGAGTAAGACATGAGTACTACAAGAAAAAAGACGCAGAGCAACTTAGCTTAAGACACATGTTTAAAGCAAATGCACCACAATTTTTTTGACAAATTTAGGAGCGGAAAATAAACTCTAACATACCTACAGATCCAACCATGTGACGAAGAAGTGAAGCAACATGCCCACGGAGAGACGAGAGAACCCCTGTCAGCTGTTTTTTAGATGCTGCATGCAATTAATTGTAATGTAAGACTACAATAACAAAAGGATTAGCATCACCTAGAAGATAATTATAAATACTAGTCGTTGAAGTAACATAAGTATACCTATATCTAACATTTTCTTCACAAGATGAACTGCGTAGGCATTACATGAAAGGGTGAGAAAGTGTGGCTGAAGCTCGGAAAATACAGCATCCCTTTCTGTTTGAGAGCAGTACTTAACACAGGTCTAAGGCCAAACCAAAAAAGGGTTAGACAACCATAGCCTTATGCAGTGGAATTAATTAGAAACCTAAAGAAAAGACCAAAACCAACCGACCTGCAGAACACGAGACGAAACATGAGAGCCAGCAATTTCTGGAATCTTTCCCTTCATCTTTTGCAGAGCTTCAGTAATCAGCCTAAGAACAATTCAAATAACATTTTAGGCCCAAAAACAGCCGTATTGAGTTACTAAGCAATATATTCGCTCTCAAAAACATACTTTGATCTGTCTTCTTTAGGAATATTCCGACGTCTCATCTTTTCCCATAGAGATGCAAGCTCCTGATACAATGTAAAAGAACCAAAACTTGCATTAGAAAAAAAATCAATAATTGCCAAAACTTCAAAGAGTCATCCATCAAATAAGTTCTAACCAACTCATAAATAGATGGGTTCAAATGTCTTTGCATTAAATAGGGGTGTAAAGACGCATTTTGGGTTGAAAAAACTATTTCATCACTGAGTATCAAAAGAATCAAATTTGAGTATTCCAATACCTGATCCAAGCAACGGAGTAATATGTTTTTTTTTCTTTTTTAATTAGGATAGAAAAACTTCAATTCGAACTCAAACTCACGCTTGAGTTGAGTACGAATAACCAAGTTTTAAATGGAGCATGAGAGTTGAGCTCGTCCTTTACTAAGTAAAAGAATCTAATCGAGCCAGCCCCAGCAATATTTCTCCAATGGTGTTCGAGCTTTACAAATTACACTCAGCCCGAACCTCAAATTTAAGTCAAGCTTACTAAATAACTTCAAACTCAGCTTGACTCTATCACATCCAAAATAAAAAGAAATACACAGAACTTACTTGTTCAAGAGTATAATGCTGTTTCCTCTTCTTCTTTCTAGCTTCTGCCAATTCCTATCAAAACCAATAAAAAAACAAACATTCAATAACAAAAAACGGGTTGCCCTCACAATTTCTCACGAAAAACAAAGGCAAAAAACCCGAGAGACCTTTGCTTGGATTCGACGCTCTCTCTTAGTGAGCTCTTTATTTTCATTCCCAGAATCCAATTTCTTAAACTTTGAATGACTTGGGTGTTCTCGTTTTTGTTTGGATGAGTTGAAAGGTTTTTTCAACGGCTTATTTGAAGGGCTTTTTGATGGGGCTGAAGCAAGTAGCTTCGGCTTCTTCGATGTTGAGCTATCTCGGTCGATGTTTGAGCTTGAAAATTGCTTTCTCTTTTTGGGTTTTTGTGTCTTTTGATTCTTGGCCGCCATTGAAGCTTTTAGTTTAACTTCTAAGCTCTTTCTCCTTAGGGACGAGTGGGATTTTAGCCTCTATATTTTAGGGTTTTGCGTTTAGGTTAGAGAGGAAAGGATTGGGCCTGCCGACTGTCGAGACTAAGTATGCCGTACGGAAAGGATTTTGGACGGAGATTTTTGTAAGGGTAAATTATTTAAATAGTCTGTCAAGTATGAATAAATTTTCTTTTTCAACATCAAAGTTTTAAAAGTAACAAAATGATCACTAATGTTATCGATTTATAACAAATCGATCATTAACAAGTATGAATAAGGATAAAGTTTTAATAGTAACGGTCACTAATGTTGTGATACGTTAGGTTAACTTATTTGGTATAGTTTGGCCACTTGGGATAAGAGCAAATTATATAAATGGTCATTAAATTATGAGTAAGTTTCCTTTTTTGACACTAAAGTTTTAAAAGTAACAAAAAGATCACTAACATTATCATTTTATAACAAATCGATCGCTCGATCATTAACAGTCGAATATTTATCTTCATTGCCGCCATATTTGACACGCTTCATAGAAACATTAGAAACAAAACTCGTCTTAACTCAGTAGTCAAATATGATTTAAAATGGAAGATGAGTTTGTTTGATTAAACAAGTGTTGTTGAAACTTCATGTTTGTCACAGCCCACATATTACCTTCTGCTTAAAAATCTACCAACCTTCAACAGAAGAAAGAAGAAGATACATAAACAAAACATGAAGATCGACTTCAAGGCTGCTTGTCTTGTTTTTCTCTCTGCCCATTCCCTTACCTTAGCTGACTCATCTCTCACGTCCACCAACTCATCTACATGTTTAATGAACCTCATGTATGTGACAAGTGTCCCATGGAACTCATGTCTTTGTCTTAACTTGCACCCTAACTCAAACTCTAAAGCTAAAATTGCACGACAAATTTGTTGCATGTTTATATTATCAGTCTTTGGTATTAGACTTGTCCAATAACTTAAACAAATCTCTCTCCTTGAGCTACCAAATTCGTCCACTTTTGTTTTGTGCCTCAAAGATTATCATTCTAAGCTCAACTCTCTCTCTCTTTCTCTTCCCAATGATCTTATTTCCCTTTGTGTTAAGCCCGAATAGTTCATGGCTACGCCTGACTTTTGTACCAGCATGCACTTGACCAAGATTGCAGGTTCCATCTCAATGATCTCATTGCTTGTGATACTTGCCTTTTTGCTAATAACGAAGTCCAATCTAAACTGGTTTCCATTTATGGTAATAAAACTCACATTAATTATTGTTTTATCAAATATTATACTGTTCTTTATCCGTCTGGGATTGCTAATGAGCTCGGACCTGAAAGCCATGGAGCTTTGATGTGTATTTTTTTCATTAGCATTGAATGAACAATCTAGTTCATCCAGTAAAAGACATTTTGGTCCTTGTTTTTGGCTTCAATGGTGTTGGGGTTGCACTTATTGTTATATTTAGTTTATTATGTTTATACTTTTGGTATGAAAAAAGATCTACAAAGAAACTTGGTCAATCTGATACTAATTTTGATGATTTAGAATAACAATGGTGTAGGTCAAAATTAAGGGTGAGGCTTAATATTGGTTCGATTTGGTGATCTAGAGAATGCGACTAATAAATTTTCAAAGAGAAATTCTATACAAAGAGGGGGGTTTGGTTTGGTTTTCAAAGGGGTTTTATGCGATAGGAAAGTGGTCACAATAAGGACGATTATAGAATTAGAGTTTCAAGGAGATGAATAGTTCTGCAACGAGATTGAGATTATAATATAGTATGATGATATCAATATCATAATAGCGGAAATTCTGTTGTGCGGCCCCTAAAAAACGGTTAAAAAACGGCGTGAACGGTTAAACAAGTGAACGGTTAAAATTTAGATCGGTTATGTTATATCATTTAACCGGAAATATTATCAAGCACAATAACATATTAGGTAGCGCTTATATAATGTAATAGGTAGCGCTTATATAATGTAATAGGTAGCGCTTATATAATAAAATAGGCATTTAACCGGAAATATTATCAAGTACAATAACAAATTAGGTAGCGCTTATATTGACCTATTTTCTCATAAAACCGGTAAATTTAAACCGGTTACATTATAAATTGACCTATTATCAAGTACATATTTAAATAGTATCGATACATAATGTAGACCTATTTGCTAATTAACTGGTATATTTTAATCGGTTACATTGTAAATTTACCTTTTACATAATAATTATCGATTTTGATGTTTCGAGGATCGATACTTTTTACAAATGTATCGACAATTTATGCGTACACCTCGTTTGCCATTCATTTTGGAAAAATGTATCGACACAAATTAAAAAAATGTCGATACTTTATGTTGACCTATTCTCTCATGAACCCGATATATTTATATCGGTTACATTGGAAATTTACCTATTACATTATAATTATCGCTCTCTTTGATTTTGGGATCGATAATTGTTATAAATGTATCGACACAAAATCTAACAGTATCGATACTTTATGTTAACCTGATTTATAATTAAACGGTATATGTATATTGGTTACATTGTCAATTTACCTATTACATTATAATTATTTGTCATTAAAATACTCTAATTTTACCATCTACATTGTAATTTTACCTATTACTTTAAAGTTATTGAATTATGTAGTTATTGTACCTACCTGAATATGTCATGCAAATTTAATGTTGTACCCACCCTGCAACTACCACCACTACTAATAACACATCCTATTGAAAGCACCATTGAAACATGTTGTTCAATGAACCTTTACTTACATACATCTCCATCAACTCTTGTTGGGACCACTGAAATTGCACAACAAAATTTTTGCCATGGATCATACTGATGCAGACAATGTTAAGTCAACCAAGGAATGCCATAAAGTACATAATGTTGATGAATCTGACATATTGGTTGGTAAGCTCTTCTCATCACGTGATCAAGCTTGGTACTTTTACAAGGAATTCGGACGGGAACATGGGTTTAGTGCACGCCGGGGAACAACACGGCTTGACATGGAAGGGAATGTGAAGACACAAAAATTTTGTTGTTCCAAAGAAGGATTTCGAGGATCAAAAGTCAATAACGTTGATCGTCAACGTGCTCATACTCCAATCACAAGAGCAGGATGCAAGGCTAGAATCGTAGTTACAACAACAAATACAAACGATCAGTGGGTTATAAGTAAGTCTTATCAGAAACATAATCATGCATTGTGCACACCTGCTATGACACCATTTATGCGTTCTAATAGAGCTGTAAGTAAGGCTGATATCGATGAGGCAACATCATTGAAAGAGGTCGGTGTTGGCACGTCACAAGTAATGAACTATTTAACGCAGCAGGCAGGGGGCTATCATAATGTTGGATTTACACATAAAGACCTCTACAATGCACTTCAAAGATGCAAAGCAAAGGAAATCGTCGATGAGGATGTGAATGCGCTTATTGCTTACTTTGATTATAAGAAACATGATGATCCCGGGTTTTTTGTGACATACTCGGTAGACGAATCAAGGGCGTTGCATAATCTTATTTGGTCGGATTCTACATCGAGATCATATTACATATGTTTCGGTGATGTAATTGCGTTCGACACAACGTACAAAGATAATTTGTATGGTCGACCAATTATGCCTATTATCGGTGTCAATCATCACCATAACACAATTGTGTTTGCTACTGTTGTAATCGCTGACGAGACGTCCCAATATTTCGAGTGGGTGCTACAGAATATTTTAGAAGCCATGATGAACAAATCGCCTATTTCAGTTGTCACCGATGGGGATAGGGCAATGTGAGGGCTATCAAATCTGTTATCCCTAATGCTAAGCACAAATTATGTTCTTGGCATCTTTCTCACAATGCACAAGCTAGCATTGGTGACCCAAAATTTACAGCAGCATTCTCAAAATGCATGGTTTCCTGGTGGACAATCGACGAATCTGATATTCAATGGTGTTCAGTTGTTTTAGAGTTCAACGTCGAAAAGCATCCATGGGTGATTGAGAAAGGAAATACTCGGCACTTATGGGCACAAGCATATCTAACCGGTCATTTCTTTGCTAATATTCGCTCAACACAAAGGTGCAAGTCTATGAATGCTTCACTCGCAATTGCACTGAAACACAATAAGACATATTTAGATGTTGTTCGTGCAATTGAAGATGGAATTAGTAGAATGCGTCTGAACGAGTTGAAAGCGGATTACTTAAGTTCCCAAACGAAGCCCTTCCAGATAACAAAACTGGTTGAATTTAAAAGTCATGTTTCTGAGATTTATACGCGCGAATCTTTTCGTGCGTTCCAAGAAGAACTTCAACGGGAGACATTGTATCGGATTCAAGAAGAGATTCAGTCCTTATCAGATGAATGTCAATATTTTTATTTGAAAAAGTACAAAGAAAAAAATAGGGCATTTGAAATTAGTTTTTGATTCTCGTACGGAAACCATAAATTGCTCATACACAAATTCGAGACAGTTGGACTTCCATGTTGCCATCAACTTCACGTTTTGAAGCACTTAGATTACACATATTTTCCCGGGTCTTTGATTCAAAGTAGGTGGCCTAAGGATGCGAAGGCTTCTGCACCCAGTTTTGTTGATTTGAATGTGCCTCCAGAAATAATGCAAAGGGCAAGGTTTGCTTCTCTACGTGCAACAGCAAGTATGTTATGCTATGCTGCATCAAAGACAGACACGTCTTTCAAAACCGCAAGAGATTAGATGAAAAGATTAACAGAAGAATTTGAGAACTCGTTTGGTTTGAATGATTCAGTCAAATTAGACAACGTTCGCGACCCTCAATGAAAACAACGTAAGCGAAAAGAAGTAACAAAGAACAAGGTTGAGAAGAAAATTAGGCGATGTGGGTTCTGCAACGGTGAGGGACATAACAAACTAACATGTCCTCAAGTCAAGCTGGGTTTGAATACAAGCATGCAGCCTACTTCAACTGATTTTTTTGAAGACGAAATGGACTGTCATTCAGTCCCGCACATGATGTTAGAGACATTTGGAATAATGCAGACAACGATCTTCATATATCCTAAGTATCAACATGACTCCTACTGTGTATAA